AACCCACATTTCTGAAGGAATAAATTAATCTTGTGTGAGATGATGTGATGAATGAACTGTCCTGTTGATGGAGGGAGGTAGAAACAGTAAACTTTACTCTAGTGGAAAGCTAAATTGAGTGCACTGTAATTCATTGACATGTTGTTTGGATGTATGACTATTAGATTAGACATAAGTGTGGTGTATTAAATTAAGATGATATTAAAATAATAAGAATTTAAGTGTCCAGTTCTTGTGCATTGATTTTATTGTAATGTGCTTTAGTGCCACCTATTGGGAAAGATGTTCCTATCCCCTCCTAGTAAGGTAGTACTAGGGTCTATTGTGATGCACATTGTCACTATTGTTGCTTTTTTTAAATAGAAATACAGTATGTGATTAGTAGTTTCTTATGTGGTTTGTTTTCTTTAGCTCTGAACAGTGTGGTCAATTTCCAGAATTTAGTAATACTACTCTGAAGAAAAATATTCATCCATTATACAGCATTATATACATGCCATAATATCCTGAAGGAGGTTTATGAGTATATGTTACTGCTCCCAAGAGTACTCTGCTATAAATTGCTGTAAAAGTGTTAATGTAATTCCTTCCCATGTCAGACAATCCTAACAGCAGTAATACTTAAAAAGAAAGGATGTTATAACGCCAGTTATTGGATTCATCTTATATGTAGAGCATATCAACTTGTATACTAATGTATACATTTCTGGATGTATATAATAATATATATATAATATAATAATAATAAATAGTAAGGTCAAGCTAGGTACATGTATACTAAAAAGCTTTTAAGGAGCATTTGCAAGGTGAAACCGACGTGTTGAATTAAGAATTAAAAGTGAGCGCCAGCATGTTGAACCCGTGGAACAGGGCTGATTGTCTCATTTTGTTCACTATTATTTATGCCAGTATTTCAGAATTAATTTGCTATCAACATGTTGTTGTTTCAAATGAAATACTGTGTTTTCTTGTGCTTCACAAGTTGGGATATCTGGAAATGCAGGTCCTCAGTTTGAGAAACCGGGATCTTCCTCCTCAGTCAGTGGCTGTCTGATCCCATGGGGGAGTCTTATTGTGGCTCTTCTCCCTTTTCCCCACATGTTGGGTCAGACTGACTGTATTCCTGTTGGTTCCCTATATAGAATACACTCTCTCTGGACTCTGCCCCATTATGACCTTTGGCTGATGCTCTGGCTATCCAGTGGTTTCATGAGAATGTCATATAGCAAACACTTCAATTCTGTCTCCCCTCTATCTTGCTTATTTGCATTGAATTGAAATTATTTTGGAGTGGTCCTTTGTGTGCACTTGCCGGAAATTATTGTTAATTCCAGTGTTTCTGCAATGACCAGTCGGTTGTTCAGCTGATTAATGGTTGAAAACCATTAGAAGAAACATTAACTTTTAATGTGTTTGGAAAGAGGTAGCATTAGAAAAACTATCTAGATAGCCTGTAAAGGTTACAAATAAGTAGTGTTTATGCATTCATAATGCACTGCTAACGTTTGATGTTTACAATACATGACAAGAGCTTGAGTTTTGCATGAAAAATAATAAGCCATTATGAACATCAGGGTGGTTTCTGTAACTAAAATAGCTTGAGAATGTGGTCATGGACTCACTGTCATTGCACAGTGAAGGTGTAACATGAACGTTGTTTAGGTCACACATAGAGGACTTTTAGTAAGTCTCATAAGCCATTCGGAGTGTGTTACAATCAAGTTGCAATCTGTTCTGCAGGGCTTTATAGAGACAAACTGCATTTTTTATTCTACATATTGAAAAAGGAAATCCTAACTCAAGCTCCATCAACTACTTTTTTCCAGTGCTTTCAACCACATCATACAGTCTTCCTCAGCAAAGGGAGTGTACACATTCATGGAGTTGACATGTTTGCTCTTGCTACTTACTAAAATGCCACACTGAGCGTTTCTTCCAGTGTGAAATAGTAAAATAATAGACCTTTTGCCATCAATGTAAACTCAATAAAAGAAAGAAAAAGTGAGTAAAAGAAGTCCTGGTTCAAGATTAGATTGTGTAGCCAAGCTTAATCTTTCAAGGGTAACATCACTTTAGAGAAATCTTACAGTTAAGTACAATTTTATCTCAGACTGATCATATATATGATTTATGAATAACATTCGCTTTGTTCAGCAGGACAGTCGGTTGACATAAACAAATTCATAATTTGTCTCCATCCATTTCCTCACTTTTTTTCCTTGCCGCCCCTTTCACCTTCATCTCCCCCTCCATCGTTCTCCTGTCTTCTCCTTTCATTCTTTCTATATTTATTTTCTCCACTGTCCAGTTCTCTTTTCCTCTCCTCCACCCTCCTCTCTTCCTCTTCATCCTTCTCTCCAGTGATCCATTCCCTCGACGTCTACCCAGTTCCAGCAGAGGCCCGGCCAAAGCGGGGGGGGAGTGTGGCCTCAGAGCTCCATAAATCCAGCCTGTAATCAGTGTGTACCGGCCATAATGAGCAGGAGATAGTGAAAATATGTTGATTATCTCCCAACATGAGGGGATGAGGGGGCAGACAGTTTGGATACACGCTTTCTTGAAACCCTTCCAGTGGCATAAATAGCTGTCTTTACATGGAAGCATGGGCAAAAATACACACATACTCACTTTGGAGACATCCACAGGGCCTGCAGATAGAGATGCCCCGTTGAGTGCACCTGTGTCTGTTATGTACTGTATGTGTTACTGTAGCTACACTAAGCAGTGAAGCACTCATAAAATGGACTCTTCTGCTTAACCACAGTCATTTTCTTCATGCAGACAAAGGTTATCTCATTATACATTTCATATAGAGCAAGTCTAGACTATACGCTTTGTAATATTATTAACAGAGACCCAACAAGTCTTACCATGAGCACGCACTTGGCCACAGCAGCAAGGAAAACTCCCTTTAAACCCCATGATAATAACTTGCAGCGGTGGTCGAGCAGGAACACTGGGGCAGCAGCTTGCAACCACAGATCCAGATCCCACAGCTCTGGAGGCAGAAACACCTGCAGAGAGCGACAGAAGGAGAGAGGAGAGAGAAGTCGTCAAGTTAGTAACGAAAGCATACACATGGTGATGGAGAGGAGGAGAGAGGTCAGTGCATCATGGGAAGTCCCCCGGCAGTCTAGGCCTATAGCAGCATAACTAAGGGATGGTTCAGAGCCAGCTCCTGAGCCAGCTCTAACTATAAGCTTAATTAAAGAGGAAAGTCCTATGTCTACTCTTAAATGTGGAAAACTAGAAAAGGCAGACTTCTCTGAGGTAGTTAAATAGTAAAAATACTGAAGAAGTTAAAGTGGAAGTCAAAATACAGTTACTGAATGAATTTCAAATGGCATTAAATGTGGAAGTGCTGAAAATAGTTTGTGTAAGTGAAAGCACTGAGTGAGGTTTCTGTGTCAATTTAAGTGTGTGCACTATGTGAAGTTAAGGAAGTATCAGCAGAAGTAAAAGTGCTGAAAGAAGTTGAAATTGCAGATGTGTAAGTGGTAAATAGAGCTGGATGTCCTCATTGAAATTTGTTCACTCTACAAACCAAAATAAAGTTAATGTGGTATTTTCTTAAAACTGGGCTGTCTATGCAGTGGAAAGACGCAAATATTTTAGAAATTGGTGCTCCATGATCTGAGAAAACAGGGAGAAAGGCCTTTTGGTTTTCCTGAAGGGATCCTGAAATATGTCTCCAGCACTCCCCAGTCCATATGTCGCCCAAAGCCTTGGTGTACCACCCAGCTGCTCCACTTCTGTTTCCACTGGAGTAACAACCAGTTGTCTCAGGCACGGGGCAGCTGTGCACCGCTATCCTCACGGGCTGGCAGTGCTTGACTCTCTGCGTCTTCGTCCTCCATAGGCCTTAGTTCCTTCGCACTGAATTGTGGCTCTCTCAATCTGACTGTCCATGGATACAAAAAAATGCAGAGCTACAATCTGTAGTTAGAACGACAGCCCTACACCTGGCAACATGCCGACAACTTTGAGGGAAGCGGTCAACCACACATTGTAATGGTACAAAGCTGGTCTCATTGACATTGGCCTCTCTTGCAGTTGCTTTACCAAACTGTCCTTCTGTAACCTCTGCCTTAGTATTCAGACTCCAGCAGCTCCAAATTAGTCATCACTACACACGGGAAATCGGGGGCAGCTGCCCCCCCGGACAGATTTATAGAGCTAGCCTTGAACGCTGGGCTGTTGCTTGTGGAGCTGAGCCCATCTTGTTCAAGGGGGAGATGTTTTCAGTTAGTCTGGGCTCTCATCTGTTGTAGGCTTCTCCTCTCCACCCTACAAACATATCTACATGACTTATTGGGATGGATTTCAGTGCTGAGCTCTCATTACACAATTACAGTGTAATCATACAGCAATGAAATATGATACTTAGTGAATTATGAGCTGAGATACAGAAACTACAAATTGTGAAAAACTTACATTAGAAACTTCTCTTCTCTAACGTCTCTTTTCAGTCAGTTAAAATTTGTACAATGAACTTGCTTCACCATTTACCTACTTCTAAATATCAAGATATCTGTGCCGTTTGGTGGGTTTTTATGTATGCTGGGTGATTTCATGAAGCAAATGTAAAAGGGTTTGAACTCTTGAATCCAGGCATTTAGCCAAAGTAAGCAATCCCATATCACAGCAAAAAAAATGCCACACTGACAAAACATTAGACAAGAAAATAATTAATTTATGGTTTTACTATTCAAAAACCAGAATATTATTTAAATAGGCATTAATTTGGACATTAGGCTTTTAATTATGTATCAGTCTTTGATCTAAAACAGTGCTATGCAACATCTGGGCTCTGTGGCATTTCTAATGCTGGTTAAAATTAGTATGACATTTTATCTCACTTTTGTTACGGGATGGCAAAGAGTGTTGGCTGCATGAAGTTATTATTCATCATGATCTATGATGGCTCTGTTTATTGCAGTTTGAATCACTGCCATGAACATTTAAAATTGACCATTTACTACAAATGAGATGAATTAGAATATAGTCAAGAAAGGATGGTTTAATAAGAGTTGAATAAAAGCTTCCTGGGACAGGCTCCTCACTGTAACACTGCCTTATATATAATGGTCCTAGGAACTATTTAAAATATTCAGCTCTGGGTAGATTATGAAAACACATATTTTGAGCTCAAATCCACAAATGAATTCAAAGATTCACCTAAAGTATTGTACAAACGTTCCCCTAACCCAGTGGTTCTCAAACTTTTTCTGTCACACCCCATTTCAGAAGCCGAAGTTCATGCCCCCACACCCCAGCAAAAGTGGATTTAATTTTAATCAATCATTAACAATACAGGCGGTTGGAATAAACAAGATTCATGTTAGCAAAATAGCCTTGCTAGCATCAGAGCACTTTCATATGTCACCACATGAATCATATTCATGTAATTTTAGATCCGGTCTACACCCCTCTCCCAAAGTGGCTCTACTGCCACCAAGGGGTCCTGACCCCTTGTTTGAGAACCACGGCCCTAACCTAACACAAATGCTGGTGAAATCTCTTCCCTGCTGAAAACACACGCTTTCTTGATCCTCCACCAGGAAATTATTGGTGTGGTTCATGTATTCTGTCTTATCACATGTGGTTTAATGTGTGTAGCAAAAACACCAAGAGCCCTAAAAACAGGATACAGAGCACAGGTGCTCCATCTGGACCAAGGACCAGGGTAACCCAGTGGCCTCTCTCAGATACACTGGCATCGAGCACATTAGATCTCCGAGAAGAGGAGGCCGTTTAAATGCCATCTTTCTCCAAACCAAAGACTTTTATATTTTCACCCTCCAGACTCTCACACCTAGAGGTCTGAATCAAGAGTAGGAGATCAAACAACTTAACATCAAGACACAAGAGTTTTGTGAATAATCTGGATGCCTGAAAATTACGCTAAAGATGTGTTCATTCATTCAGAACTGCTGTTATAACCACACTCACACTATCAGTCCCTGTAGCAATACTGCAGGAATTTTATCTGAACGCAGTATTTGTTTGGAGATGTACAGTTACCTGCTGATGTTAAAATGTGGGCCGCCATAACTGGCAGAGATGTCTTATTGTCTGCTCATTAGAATAAAATTGAAATGATGTCAAGATAAAGTCGTTTTTTATGAAGAAATAGAGCCTGAAATATGGTGGGGAGTAGTAACTCTGCCCACTGAGGTTTAACGCAACCACTGGGACTATTTCTGCATCTAAGATGTGTTTGTCAAATTTGAAGTAATAAGCAACAAACACAAGCTGTTATTGTAGACGCTGTTTTACTCAGAGTAAAGGGTTACATTCTGTGGCAGAGTTGTAATGAGAACTAAGTGGTCATTACTGCAGAGATATGAAGTGATCAGACAGCAGCTGTGTTCCCACAACAATCCCTCCCTCACTGCTCACATGTCTGTCTGTCCTTTCACTCCCACACACACACACACACACACACGTGCACACGCATGCACACACACACACACACACACACACATATACACTGTGACTTTATGCAATACCACAAACATCTAAATAAAAATGATTAGACCCTAACAAAGAAGGTTTTCTTCCATACAGTGAAAGCAACAGATGAAAAAATAAAAATAAAACACTGTACAGCGTTTAAATCAAGATAATATGTTGCACACTGTTCCTCCATGTGGGGATGTTTTTAGTCAAAGGAAGCGGCTTTTTCATTTCCTCGTATTAAATCCGTTCCTGACGACCTGCTGTCTAATGCTCCGATCATTTTCAACAAGGGTGAATATAAACCTCTCTGTGCTGTGTGCATTAGTGAGTATCTGTACCTGTGGGTGTTTGTTTGTCTTAGTTTGACACTGATGACAGGCTTTTGCAGATGGACAAACTAAGAACAGGAAATTAAAAAAAGTGTTTTCTGTTTAATTAGGACATGTAGCCAGATTTTGAATTAAAGAATGAAATGAAATAAACTCTAGGCAACTCGGCATTCAAAATTTATTGACTTTCCCAGCAGCCAGAGCTAAAAATGGCCACTGTACTTGTAGTTGCAGGTTAATTTAAGCCCTGACCTTCGTTATTAGATAAACCATGAACTGGAAGAAAGTTTTTTTTTTTTATCTCCATACAAAGTAAGAAAATGCTAACCTTGTTTTTATTTTTGGATGGCTTTAAGTTAAGATTTTCTTCTGCTTTGCTAAAGTAAAACTTTGCTAACTAATAATTTGCTAATGACTGATCACTGTCTCCACACAAATCCCATTCACTTTGCTTTGATGTGTCCTTCGCTGTCGATAGTAGCTGCGTGGCTGGTTAACATTGTTGAAAGGAAATGGGGTGAAAGTTATGTCCCATGTTGTACTATGACTCTTTGTCTCCTTCCAAGGTGGGGGTCAGTGGGTGTGTCCCATTCTGTCCAGGTGGAGGCATCTGATTGGCTGGGATTCCTGATAGCAGCTCTCCCATGCTGCCACAGTAGAGCAGGGAACGCATGGGCCACTTCTGTGGAGACAGACAGCCCACTGGGTTAGTTCTTCCTGCTAATACAATCAGCATATGTCACCTCTCTTTCACTGTTTCAGGTTTAAGTCTCTCTGAACATTGTCCTCTGACTGTCCAGCTGCCATAATCCAGATGAAAACAGATAAAAGAGAGTGACACACTCATCTGAGTCTCCTACAACTACAGCGAGCTCAGCACAATCAGCTTATCGAGCAGCAGCAAGCGCCTTACTGACTTTTGCCCCTTTTTCCCCTCTCAGGCTGCATACAGGCTCAGCCTTGTTGGTGAATGTTGTTGGATATGTATGAGGCTTGAAAGGAATACCTGTAGACACTACTCAGGGCTAAAGAAAATAGGCACTGCTAACTTCTTTTCCAGTGAATAATTGTATTTGATGTAACTAGAATTATTCGGATTATTTCTGCAGTCACGAGATATGTTAGCGTCGATCTTGCTAAGAGGGCACAAATGTATTTGCAATCTACATTAAGACATATGGAAATATTTTTCTTTTGACATACCAAACTTCTGTTGATCATCACTGTTACTCTCGGCGGTGGCTTTGCACTGGTCATGTATCGGTTGTTTATGGTTATTTTAATGAGATTTCTGGAGTGGGGCTGTATGAGTTACTTATCCTGTTATCCAGTTCACTGCTTAGCCTCCGTGCTCGTGCAACTCTCTGCTTCTATAAACTGGGGACATGCCGATTAACATCTACTGCAGGTAATAAATACACTGTTGATAGGCACCTCATACAACCCCTCTTCAAAAATCCCCAACTATCCCTTTAAGATAAGGAGATATTTTAGTTCTACTAAATTAAAGCAGCTCTGACCTTTAAGCTTCAATCTCTTAAACTGGTTTGGAAAGAGAAAACAGTGATTCGATTATATTTTCTGATTGACATGATGATCTTTGATGTCCTCTGACTTTGAAAGTTAGCCTACAGTGAGAGCACTGTGTTCAGTCCAGGACAACTCATGAACAGACTATATATCAGACTGGTAGCCTATTTACATTATTACATTAACCATGAGGTTTTTCTTAAAGCGGCTGTCACCAATTATTAATAAATAGTAATGTTTTTAAAACCATTGCATGCAACTATTTAAACTGTATTCTTATTCTATAACCATAACCTGACAGAGGGCAAATTATGGTTATGATTACAGACACATGATGTGTGATTGTAAATGTTGAACCAATCCTTCTGACGTGGTCTGCCAAAGTGAGACAAGGGCCCTTGGCTTAGACTTTCTCACATGTATGCAACAGGTCATAATGCACTTACAGTGATAAGCAGTTAGCTGCTGGTTCCTACCCTCACCTTAACTGGATGCAGGTATCCACCCGGCTTGGAAGGCAGGGTGTGTTCAGCCAGCGTCCCTCCCTGGTCCAGGGTCTCCGTTAGGTAAGCTATGTAGTTAGTAGCCAGAACCAGAACATCCAGCTTGGACAGTTTGGTGTCTGGCGGGACTGAGGGCAGAGCAGCCTAAGGACAGAGGAGGGTGGACAACACACACAACACAAATATGCTTTTATGTTTCAAGTTTCATTCATTTGTCATTTCCACATACAGAGCATGTGGGAACGAAACATAAAAAGGTGCTAATAGAAATACACATAATGAAACAGTACAACATAGTCACCCAGACATACAGTGCACAAAACAGAACTATGACGGTGGACCTGTGGCGTGGTGGGACTACTGGGGGGACGTTTTTAGCATTTCAACACGATGAGCAGTGTCACAGTTAATGAGAATATTATGAAAATATCTAAATAAATAATGCTGTGCAAATGATCAATAATATCAATATACATGGTGCCTAACTAGTGACATCACTGGTCATTTTACATAGTATAAATAAATGGGGGCACTCCGGTAATGATAGTCCGGTATAAAGTGTCGGTGTAGAGAAATTGCAGAATCAGAATCAGAATCAGTTTTATTGCCAGGTATGTGTACACATACGAGGAATTTGACTCAGGATTGTACATTGCTCACGATGTGCTTACTCACACAAAATAAAATAATAATAATAAATAATAAAATAAAATCAGACACAAACTAGAGTATACAACACTAATACACACACTATGAACAAAACAATATAGACATATTGACAAGCAGAGAGGTGTAGTCCAAGTGAGTTGTACGTGTGTGTGTGTGTGTGCATATGTAATAGTATGTTAGGAAGAAGTGGTGGTGTGTGGGGGAGTGTGTGGGCCTTATGTGGTGGGTAGCAGCAGGGTGTTTAGATGTCTGACAGCTCGGAGAAGGAGCTATCGCAGAATATAACATGAATAGATTAGATTAGTCTTTATTGTCTCTCTTAGGAGAAATGTGTCTTGGGCGTTCGACAGAGCAAAGTTAAAGGAGCAGCACACGGGTACAGGAAACCTGCAGAGAGGCGGGAGCCATACTGATAAGTTGTCACCTCTCCTCTACAGCAAATAAGTAAGTAAATAAATTAATAAATGAAACAATAACTCAGTAGGCACATTTTTTGTATGCATGCAAATTCAATCACTCATTAAACTGAATTGAGCACACAATGGGAAGAAAGCGGTAAAAGAGAAATGCACAGGGAATGCTTCAGAGGTAATGAGGCAACAGCTTGTGTTCAGCGCTAACTCAATCAAGTGTCAGCGTATGTCTGGGGTACCTGCAGGCTGTGGAAGGCCTGTCGCAGGTTGCGTACACGGCTCCTCTCTCGTGCTGCGTTTTCTGGGGAGTGCTGACCCCTCAGTGTCCTGGACTGGACCGCAGACCCACATCCAGAACCAGAGCGTGACCTGGACCCACACACAGACTGCACTTGCAGCAGAGGACACATTGAGACATGACAGTAAAATACAATAAAATAAAATGGATTGTTTTGCCCAAATGAGGCAGTTAGAAAATATTTAAGCAAACAGTTCAAGAACCTTTGGAGGAATTTTTCCAGGGTTACTGTACTTTGAGTCTGCACAATATTAGAATCCAGTGATTTGGGGAGCCACACTTTTTTTATTTAATTCTTTTATATATGAAAAATATCCTTTTACTTATTTTGATAAAATATCAATGTTAAATCTTATGTTACTTGGTTCATTCTTCATTCTAAAACACAACTTCCTATTGCAGTGTGTATTATTTGCATACAGTAAATTGCTGAAAGGTCCGATGTGAAAATCAATCGCTACTCAAGAGCATCAGTTATTGTTTCATTACTCTCTCATTACTGTTACTTTATACTTATGTATTGTTACTGCCCTTAGGGCAGAGCCAGTCATTTACAAGTACTACATTTATGGCACTGAGAAGAGATTTTTGAAATGATGTCAAAGATTATTAAGAAAGTAGATTATTGCGCTTCTAGCTATTTTTATGTGTTTCAGTGCTCAGAAATAATGCATGCCGTGACCGTATTTATGTTAAAGACAGACAAGGATAGAGAGGAGTGCATTTTATTCAGCACTCCTCAGGACTGCTGCTAAGCATCTGAAATGTGCTTGAAGTGCACACATGTACCAGACACATGTTCTTAATGTTTCCATTAAATCCTTAATGAAAAAGGGAGATTCATCTTATACTTTACTTGTTGGCACTCTCACTCATCTTCAGCTTTCCCTAATCACACTAGTAAGTTAGTGACAGGGAGCTTTGCCTTGTCTGATCACCAGAAATTTTAAACTTATGAAATCGTGACCGTGGAAGATAAAGGACTGATGCATCATCCATCGTCCATTAATTCAGACTCACCCACTTCCCTGGCTCGCGGCTGCTGCGTATGCTCTGCCCGTGTCCGTGCAGGGATGCTGAGCTGCCGGCTGCACTGAGCTGCTGCCTCTGTGGCTCAGCGGTGGAGCTGGAGACCAGTCGGTGATTCACTGCGACTGACATTAGACCCTCCAGAGGATTCACCGCCATCGATGCTCCCGTGTGATTGGTGAGGAACACTCTCCTGAAGACTTGAGAGCCTAATTCACTTTTGTTCAGTTTACTTTCTTTGGCTGGATGGAAGTTTGCTTTCCCGTGCTGGAGATTGTAAAAGTATCATCCACTAAGTTCTTTGGTAAATACACTACAGAACTCACAATCTGAGGTCATCTTTCCATCTAATCTGAAAGCATCTTAAAAGTTTAATGCAGATAAAAGTACTGGCTCAAGAACAGCTGAAATCACTCATTTGATCTCAAGAAAGGAAAAAACATTCAAATCTGTGAACTGTTTCTGTAGCTACAGAGGACCACTTCTTTCAAGCATCTCCAAGATCCTTTCCAGAGTTCTCCAGGCCTTTGTGGGACCCCGGTTCCACCTACACCCCTTAACAATTGGTGAAAACCCCACAATCACCAGCTACTTCCCTGCGCATCACCATCCATCCAGAGGATTCCTCCCAGTCTGACCCTCTCTCTCTCTCTCTCTCTCTCTCTCTCTCTCTCTCTCTCTCTCTCTCTCTCTCTCTCTCTCTCTCTCTCTCTGCCTCTCTCTCTGCTTGTTTCCTTATCGGGTGAGGTAATGCGGGGAACTTCATGAGGTCCTTATCTCAGCCGCCTGGTCGTCCTGATCCTCCCCTGGCTGTTTGACTGCCAAGAAGAGCAGGCAGGCAGTCAGGCCTGGAGGAGTGCAGCACTGGGAGGGTGTCCCGAGCCAGGGCACTGGGGGCTTGGGAAACTAAAGAGCTCTGCTAACAACTGCACAGGGTACATTGGAAGCTCGGGGCAGTGCGACATAGAACATTATCAAGGAGAGGCGGAAGTGCATTTTGGTTTGTTGAGAACATTCAGGGCATCCCAGTATCTTAACAACCTCATTATGACAGAATGAAAAGAGAAAAGGAAACCAGATTCGCTTGTGCACATTTTGTGACCAACCCATTTGAAGCAGTTAAGAACATAACACACCACAAGAGTTTTGGGCACATGCATATAACCCCAGGGTGGTATCCCAGAAAGAAGGACCTCAACAAGATCACTCACCCCTGTTCCAGAAATCAAGTTTTACTGACACTAACTTGCTATAAGGCAGGTTAAAGCTAAGGTAAGCAACGCTGGAACTCCCTCCACAGTCACTCCCCATAACACATGTTCATGTGCAGTAAGTGCACAGGTGGACAGGTAGGTAGGTAGACAGGCAGTTAGGTCAGCCAATCATTTCATTTCATTACAGTCCTGCGACAGTCGCAGATATTGGATTTGTTTTTTCCTTTTTGTGTCAGAGCATATGATTTATTGATCTTGTCGGGAAGTAAAGAGAATTTCAACAAATATAACAAAACATGCTGGAAAACACTGCCCAGCCCAGCTCTAACTTAGTCTTTATCTATGGTCCAAGGTCCCGGGTTTTCAAGCTCCAAATCTAAAGAATTGTGATGCAGCACATACATAAAATACAAGAGAGGTGCCAGTGGATGTGGATGCTCCAGAAACTGTATTAAATAACAGACGTAACAGATCATACAGTGCAGTGCTCAGACTTCATTTTATTTTGTCAAAGAAAGATCTGATTTGGGCATTTTATTGTGAAATAAAATAGTATTTCAAGGCATTACCAGCTACACATTCTGGATGCCCATATTGTGAAAATCATCTTCAGACAAAGCTTGTCAACTTCAAGATCAACATGATGAGCACTGATAATGATTCGACTCTTTCTTCAGGATTGTTACTCTCGTGTTGGGCTATCATGCCCCTAAAACTGAATTGGTAAGTAAATGCATGCATAAAAGCACTGAATATCAATAACCTCATGAGGATTACACTTGGAGCTTTAGAGGAGGCTTACATCAATGTAAGCACCCAGTGCTTCTAGTCTTTGTAGCAAATCAAAGTCAACCAACGCGACTAAATGCAAAGCTGGTGCACGTTACGATCACTAGCACATAAATCAAAGGCGGCTGTGGTTGCAGCAGCAGTGTGCTATTCAATGGAAATGGTCGATGACATGGCAGCATTGTTGTGGTTTCACGTTATCAGTCAGAGGAATGCCTGGCACCTTGTCAGCCTGTCAACACAATAACAACAAGTGTCCTCTGACCTCCCATCTGCAGCTGCTTAGTAAACTGTTCAAGACTACAAGGCTGAGGAACGTTTTGAGGAAGGCAGGAGACAGAATGAATGGCCGCTGGTTTCTGTGTTCCTGGCTTTAAAACGGCACTGACACATGTAGCTGTGGTTTTGCTGGGACTAGTGATGTGGCTGCTGATCAAGCCCACAGCACAGCACGTGACTGACACACTGTGATGAAACCTTTTTACAACATTTTCTATATAGCTTAAATAGTACTTTGAATTAGTATTAAAGGCTGTGAAAATATGCTCTTCATGTTAAAAGTGTGTACTGTTTAAGAGTTTAGAAGTGAAAGGCCTAGACGTCTAAAAAGTAACATCTGTTTTTGTTATTACTGTACAACCCAGGTCTTCTCACTATCTGTCCATTTCTATTGCAAACTAAGGAATTGCCACAATTTGCGGTCAACAAATCCAATGAATTCACCTTTTGCTCTGTCTGTTATACTTCTTTATTATTTTACTTTATACTGCCTAAGACTGGCTTAATCCTGAAGAAGTACGATCAGGACTTTCACTGATAGAGCTATACTATGTCATGTATTCCACCTCATAGAGAAACACAGGGCTTACTTCTCTATCTGGAATCACCACGTCTACTACTGCTGCTCACCACAGTGTTCCAGTTTATTTCCATTCATCCATCTGGCTTTCAATACTCCTATATCATACTTTTAGTTTATTTATCTGTCTGTGAGTACACCCCCTTTTATATCTTCTCCTTCTTCTCCACCGTCTTAGTGAAGTTCTGGATGTCCTCGGCCATCAGCTGGGGCTCCTCCATGGCAGCAAAATGGCCGCCGCGGGCCATGTGCGTGAAGGTCATGAGTTTACGGTATTTCTGTTTAACCCAAAGTTTGGGAGTGTGCATCAGCTCGTTGGGGAAGCAGGCAAAGCCGGTGGGGGTGTACACCGGCATCCTGTAAGAGACGATGAGGTGTTAGCATTAGATTTACACACTGCTGGGTAAGGTATTAAGATCACCCTAAACAACCTGTTTCAGTAAAAGGAGGATGTGAGGCTCTGGAAACCAAATGACCTGGTGAAAAATAAACAACTTTCAATGGAAAAATAAATGTCATCAATGTGCTTTATATATTAGTTAATATCTATATAATAAACACAGATGATTTAAAAGCTCTAAACGCTGTGATTTCAAATGCTTTGACTCAAATCCAAATAAAATCAAACGATGATGAAAATACCCTGTAAAAAAAGATTTTTAAAATGTTTAATTTCATCAGAACTCCTTTGAAAGGTTTATAATGTGACTTCACAAATGAAAAGTGTGGCTTAAATAGATATATTAGTTCACACAGTTAGCTTCTTCTGTTCTTTAAGCATCGTTGGATCAATGTTTTTGTTTTGTAACCAACTGGTCACATTAAACTCTGTGCTTCTCACTCACTTCGAGTGAGGCTGGTTGAGGCCCTTGCCAAAGTTCTCCTTGTAGAACCTCATGGAGGAGACGATGCAGCCAGACGTCCAATAGATCATCACATTAGTCAGCAGATCATCCAGAGAGAACTTCCTGCAAGGCACCACGCACACACGGTTTCACATTATATTAATGACAATCATTTTGCCAAGAGGCTACTGAGCGGTAGTCCCTGTAGGAACCCACCAGTCGTCAAATATTCTGTATCTGTTCTGGATTAGTACTGTGGACAAATGTGACTTGTGCAAAACCGTTTCAAAACAATCCCATTTTACAAGGGGGCCTGGGGGCTGCTGCTAATACATAAGATCCAACTACTGATGACATTCACAAATGATTGCATATATTGGTATCTGATAGTTTGATCTTCATACTAAAGGATGGTGAAAAGGATGTGATGATGGTAAATACCAGCACGGACTCACTCTGTTCTGCTTTATTTACCTGGTGAGTCCTCCATCCTCCAGGTTCCTGAAGTCATGGCTCGTCCACGTGGAGAACTTTTCCAGAATGTATGCCGCCAGACCCACTGGAGAGTCATTCAGTCCTCGACCTGAGGGGAAAATCACAGTAGGACATTTTTTGATTTGTTGATTAAAAAGAGAGACACATAGATATATGTGTGTAGAAATGTTCACTGGAACATGTGTGTACACTCCACATGTTACGCTCCACTTAAGCAGTCTAACTAAACTGCTCCTCTGATTTACCACCGCCCCTAAAAACTCTACCCCACCTTTTCTCCTCAGCTGGTTTCCTCAGTCTTCAAACTCGTGCTTGATTATTCGAGCCCCAAGGAAATACTAAATCTCCTCGCTGCTGGCTGCTCGCAGTGTAAGTGATCATGGAGACCAATATAATTCTGCTAATGCTAATACCTTTTCATCTGTTACTCTACTACAAACGCACTGTATTAGAAAACATGTCCTGATTTTATCTGAGCTGTCTGTTTCTTTTATCGTTCCTGTTTCTTTTATCCTGCTTATTTTAATGTTGTATTTTATTGTTATTTCTTATTTTATTTTTCCCCTTGTGTATTTTATCATTCACTGTGGTACTTTATGTCATCTCTCTCTTTCTCTGCATCTCTTGTGAAGCACTTTGTACTTTGTTTTGATAAGTGCTCTATAAATAAAGTTGATTATTATTGTTATACTTGGCTAATACACATCTTCCACTACGGTGATGCTGCTTAAGAACGTCTGCCCCTGGGGCCCGTTTCACAAAAGCAATTTGTATCTTTTCAACAGTTAAACGGGTCTCATGTTGTAAGTCGCAGCTTGCACATTGCAAATTTGCTGAAACGGGCCCCAGGTCCTTACCCACGGTGTCAGGCTTGGTGGCCTGGATGTGCATGTAGCCGGACTCTTTGATGGGCTCCACCACCAGTTTCTCCGTGCAGGGGAAGAGACGCTGAATATCTAAGTCAGTGAAGCCAAACAGCTGAGGGAAACGACGGCCAAGCATGATGGATAAAACGATGGGCAACCCTGGCTTGGAGGGCGGGGCAAAGTTCACATGCAAGCCTTTGACTGTCCTGGGGTATGAAAGAAACAAAAGAAAAACACAGAGCAATGGAGTGATACCTTATTTAAAAATTTACAAAGAAGTGTACAGAAATACAGAAATATATACATATCATCATCCAGGACGAGTGTTCACTGTAAAATGTTAGGCCAATACAATACATGCATTTGAAATACTGTATATCTAAAACCATACATATAATATATATGATTTTTTTCTTACTTGGGCTCCAGCTGGGCCATGTTGGTGGTGACCAGCCAGCCCCAGTCTCCTCCATGAGCGTAGAACTGCTGGAAGCCCAGACGCTTCATCAGTTTGTGGAAGATGCGTGCTGCACAAACTGAATCAAAACCTGTT